CATTGGCCTCCAACCAATTCCAACGAAGCTAAAAATCCAAAATAATTAAAGAGAATTCTCGCAAATCAAAACATCAGCCATATATCCTTGACTCTTCTTTGGAACCTCTGTGAAAACATTTAACCAGCAGGATCAAATCAATTCGCATCCAAAAATCTGCCAAAAGGCAAATTGCAATTATGAGTAATTTGTCATGTTTCAATCAAACCCAACAAAGGTCAGTGACTTCAAATTGTGGCCACGCCACCATCCTTAGTCATTAATATTTCAACTCGAATAACAGATGTCATATCCTCGACGACGTCGATGATGGTGATGACGATGATTAATGTTGTTGTCGTTGTGTGTGTTATGGCAGTTAAATTAAATAGCAAATGCACAAACACAAGGCAAAACAACAACAACAACAAATAAATGAGCAAAAATTAAATATAATTGCAATTTTATAAAATAAATAATAGTTGCGGCATGTCGGTGGGTGTGAGGCATGGCATTGTATGAGCAATTGAAAAACAACAATACTAGCAAAACAAAATAAAGCAAAAAACAAATACACCACTTGTATTATTTATCAAAAGTTATTAAACAAACAAAATTGATGGAAGGACGGAAGGAAACGGAAACTAATACTACTGCAGAGCAGCGAGATTGTGTGTGTCAAACGTGTGTGGGTGCGGGCGTACATACCGACAGAAATTCAATAAATATGGGAGAGCCTTGTATGTGTGTGCGATCACGACCATTTATTTGTATAGAAGCTTTAACTAAGAACACCACAAAACAGCAACGGATGTGTCATGAAGCAAAACAAAAAAAAGCGCAACAGTCAGTTTTCCGTTTGCCCAATCCCCTCTAGTTTTTTTCCATCAATATGGGAAAGTTGTGCTGCCAATGGCCAAAGGAATATCATCCCATGGCAGCAATAAAGGAAATTGTGGTGCTTGCTTGTTCGAAAAAAAATCAAACAAACAGAGACTACTCGTGTCGTTGTTCACTTAAATGTCTAGGAATCGTACAGGAGCGATTAAACCACGATTGTTCTGCCAGCATGGCCTTTTTGAAAAGCATGCAGGTAGATTGAGGTGAAAATCAACATGAGTCAAAAAATAGGTCTGTATCTTCAAAATGTTGGTCGAAGTAACTTCAGACGTGAATATGTACAGGGTTGCCCATATTCGACGGACCCATCTGGCAACGCCATAACTTTTGACAGCGATGTCACATCGTTTAATGACATACCGCGTTTGAAGCGTCAGACCAAGCAGATTTTGACCATGAACCAATACACGCCACGCGAGCGCTCTGAAATAGTTGAAATTTACATTCAAAAGAAGAAGTCAATTGTGAAAAAATGTGAGAAGTGCGCCTTCTAAGAACACCATTAAGCGTTTATACGAAAAATTTTCGACTGGTAAGGCTCTTTCTAATCCGAAGAGGCCATATAAAAGTCGACCAAGGCGATCGGCCGAGAATATCGCTGCCGTAGAGCCAGTGTTGAGAGGTCCCCAAGAACAGCAGTTGGGAATGGCTCGGTCCACTTTACAACGGATTATTCGCATTGATTTGCATTTGTTCCCGTACAAAATTCAATTGACGCAAAGAATGTTGCCTGCGGACAAGCCTCGTCGATTGGAATGGGCCCAACCCTGTATATATGAAAAAACTCTTTATATTTGGCTGGAAAACCACAAGTGGCTATCGTTAGAGCACTCCAGCTTTTAAATGAAAATAAATATTTGCCTTTGTGTCTCGTACCATCGCTCGTTACCGTGATACTGGTAGCGTAGCACGACGTCAAGCAAGTGCATGGAAGAAAACAGCAACATCAGCAGAAATGGTTCTAAAAGTAAAGAAGCGACTTTATGGAAACCCGCGTCGCAGTGGCCGAAAAATGGCTCGTGATCTGAACATATCCGAATATTCCATTTGGCAAATATTAAAAAATGAGATCGGGGTACAGCCATTGAAATTCCAAAAAGTGCAAGAACTCACACCGCAACAGAAAGAAAATGGACTCAAAAGAGCTAAAGAGTTGCTTCTCTTGGTCGAAAGTGGTGAACTGCCGAATTGGATTTTCTCCGATGAGAAAATAGTCGTTGTCCAGCAGTTTGTAAACAAACAAGTAAAAAAGAAATATTAAGTTCGGCCGGGCCAAACTTTTAATATCCTCCACCTTAGGGTAAAAGAAACATTGCAAAAACCATTAAAATGCCGACTGTTGCGAGGTACCGTTATATGGGGGCTACACCAAAACGTGGGCCTATAATTACAATATTTCCCACACGAACTAGGACCCATTATGACCCACAAATACCAATTTTTTGACAAAGCAGTGAAAAAATGTGGCAAAAACCATCAAAATACCGAATATCGGGAGGTACCGTTATATGGGGGCTATACCAAATCATGGACCTACACATGTAATGTTTCGCCAACGGAGCTGGAAACCATTATGACCCACAAATACCAATTTTTAGACAAATCCGTGAAAAAATGTGGCAAAAAAATAAAATACCGAATATCAGGGCTATACCACAACGTGGACCTATACATGCCGTGTTTTGCCACACGCTCAGGGACGCGTTATGACCTACAAATACCAATTTTCAGACATATCCGTGAAAAAATGTGGCATTAATCATCAAAATACCGAATTTTGGGAGGTACCGACGACCGTGGCATTAGAATAAATGCCGAATATTATCGCGAAAACATTCTGGAGGGTGTATAAAAGCCTTGGACACTCAAACATTTTGGCCGCAGACTTTGGACATTCCAACAGGCCTCAGCACCATCACACTCAGCACGTGCCACTCAAGAATGATTACGAAATGAGGTTCCTCGCTTCATTTCCAGCGCACAATGGCCACCAAAATCTCCGGATACCAAATCTTTGGACTATTGTGTCTGGAGTATTTTCGAAAGCAAGGTTGGCACTAAAAAATATCAAAGTGTCGATCACCTCAAGCAAGCATTTCGCGGAGAATGGGTCAAAATACCGCACAACAACATTAGGGCAGTGTAAGACGGTTTCATTGGCCTTGAAGGCCATAATTCGTCTCAAAGGTGACCAATTCGAACAAATCTAAGCTTATTCTAAAATGTGATGCTATTTCCGAAATTTTTTGCTTTCATTCAATAAATTTAAAAAAAATGTAAAAATGGACTATTGTGTCTGGAGTATTTTCGAAAGCAAGGTTGGCACTAAAAAATATCAAAGTGTCGATCACCTCAAGCAAGCATTTCGCGGAGAATGGGTCAAAATACCGCACAACAACATTAGGGCAGTGTAAGACGGTTTCATTGGCCTTGAAGGCCATAATTCGTCTCAAAGGTGACCAATTCGAACAAATCTAAGCTTATTCTAAAATGTGATGCTATTTCCGAAATTTTTTGCTTTCATTCAATAAATTTAAAAAAAATGTAAAAATTATGGCTTTTGATTTTGTTGCAGTTTTTTAATCTCACCCTGTATATCTGTATTCTAAAAAATATTCTTCAAATTATCTCCTTTGTAGATTTTAATGTTTCGAAACAATTCTTATATTTCATGCTTTTGTGCCTTTAATATTCCTAAAAAATAGTCTTAAAATGCGGAAATTTTTTATTCTCAAAATGTATGTCTTTGTGGTCCTATAGATCTTAAAAAGTTATCCTAAAATCTACGCCTTTGTCTGTTGGCTCTAACAATCCTGTTCAAAAATATTTTTAAAATTCACTACTATTTTTAAAATTCACTACTATTTTTAAAATTCACACTAGTAATTGAGAATATATTCTTAACATCCATATATAAAAATTTCTTCCTGTAATCCACGACTTGTATGACCTTGAAAAAATATTCTTAAAAATCTCAGTTGGGCATTCCGATAGTTCTTCTTTAAATCTACGCGTTAGTCCTGTGAAATTATTCTCAAATTCCACGTTTCTTGGACTTCAATAGAAAAAAGTTTCTAGAAATGAATAATTTTGTGATTCTTATAATCCTTGAAAACTATTTAATAGTTAATGGTACTCTTAGGCTGTAGAAAAATAAGTTTAAAAATCCAGTTTTATAGATCCTATAATTTCAGTTCACGTACCTTAACCTTTAAAATTTTTAATTTAATAGACCTCTGATAGTCCTTAAAATAGTTCGTAAAATAAAATAGTATGGCTCTGATATTCCTTAACTATCATAGAGAACAATTCTAAATTTTACGCTCATGTTGCTACCTTCTCTCTCTCACTGTCTCTCTCTTCGTTTTTAAAGAATATCCTTAAAACGCAATTGTTATTCTTTTCGTCGATAATAAGTTATTGAAAAAATACCATCGTGTGGCTTCGAAAAATAATCATAAAAATCTACTTTCGTAATTCTATTAGTCCACGAAATAAAGTTCTGAGAAAATGCAAGTTTTATATGCTGCTTTTATTCCTTGAAAAAATTCTAAAAATCAACTTTTCTTGGTCTAATGGAAAAAATATAATTAATTTCCCAAGAATCCTCAAGGCCCTAGTAAGGCCTCTTCTCACACTATGGGAGATGAACTTATAATTGTTGCTAAGCGTGAAGCCTCTGTGGGCATTTTTGTTGTTTTTCTCTTTTTTTTTCTTGTTGTCCACTTTACTGAGAATTCATAAAAAGAAATTGAAAAGGAAGCCTCCCATGGACGCTGCTGACATTACTTTGGTTATGATTATTAAATTTTTTATCTTGTTTTATTAAATTCATGTCTTGCAATGACAAAGCACTGGCCACCAGGATGCCAAGGACCAAAGTTAAAGGAGCAAGCAAACAGCAATAAATGCTAGTTTATAAGTATATCACCTTTGGCATTGTACTACACCTAGTCATAATCAGTAATGAAATAAAACTAATATCCGTTGCCTTTTTTTACACAATGTTTCAGATCCTTACATTCTTCTGTCCTTCCTTGCCTTACTTTAATTCCTGTTTACCGATTTATTATCAATTTGATTTCTTATTATTATGTTTTCTCTTCTCTCTTTTTTTACAGTTCCTGCACGTCTGGTCTGGGCAGCAGTGGGCAAAAGTGTCGATTTGCCGTGCGATCTAACACCGCCAGCGCACGATTCTGTAAAACTATTGCTGTGGTTCAAGGATACAACAGGAATTCCACTCTACACGTAAGTTGTGACAAAATCATAACTGTTTTTTTTTTAATAAAATTATATATTGTAAGCTACCAACCGGTCTTGCCATACTTATGTTCGATTTATGTTACTGCCAGAGCAAAGTTGTCTTCTTTTTTTTGTGCCTTTGGTTTCTATCTCAGTTTCGCTTCGACTTTTGCCTTGTGGGCAATGCTTGACTATTTTTATTGTTAATGCCTTCATAATCGTAAATGTAATAAATTTTAAAAGGAAATTGATTTTTCACTAGCCGCTATGGCGTTGTCGAGTTCCAGGCAATTCCCACTACCGCTAGCTGGGAAATGTTGTGAAAAGCTGTTTGAGATGGGCCAGCACGAGAACCCCTCACACATACCCACATTTTCACTTAAATGTGTTTAAAGTTTATACCTTAGTCCTTTTGTACCAAACGCCCTGTATACTTATATCCTTTTTAATGTCGAGAATGGCAAACTATATTTACGTGGTTTTTAACATCCACTTAAGAATCATTCGTGTTGTCTGCGGTAAATGTTGGCAACTGGCAATGCCAGTTAATAAGCAGGACAGTGGGTAGGCAAGGATGTGAAATTTTGTATAAATAAGATTTAAAAAGAATAATGGGGAAATCTGATTTGGTATAGTGACATAATCAAAATGAAAAATATCGTTTGTATCTCAGAAACTCCTTAAAAATAGTCCAAGATAATGCAGGAAAAATTTTGCTTTTGTAACTTTGTGTTTACTGGAAAAAATATTATTAAAACCATTTATAGCACTGAAAGTCCTTACTGGAAAAAAATTCTCTTTTATGACCATGAAAGTCCTTGAAAACTATTCTTCGCAGTAATGGCCCTGAAAGCCATTTGTATAATATTCTTAAAATTTGCCACTTTAAGTCTATTAAATGTGTTCTTAAAATTTGCCACTTTATGGCTCTGAAAGTCCTTCAATTCAATTCACCAATTTATGGATATGAAAGCCCTTGAAAAATCTACGCCTTTCGGGCCACCATATTTTAAAACTCAACGACTTTGTGGCACAAATTGTCCTGGTCTCTCGGGCCACCAAAAGTCCTGTAAGAAATATTTTAAAAATCCACGCCTTCCGGGCCACCAAAAGTCCAGGAAGGAATATTTTAAAAATATACGACTTTGTGGCTCCAATTGTCCTGGCATCTCGGGCCACCAATTGTCCTAAAAAATATTTAAAAAATCCACGCATTTCGGACCACCAAAAGACCTGAAAGGTAAATTTTAAAAATCTACGACTTTGTGGCTCCAATTGTCCTAAAAAAATATTTTAAAAATCCACGCATTTCGGACAAACAAAAGTCCTGGAAGGTATATTTTAAAAATCTATGACTTTGTGGCTCCAATTGTCCTAAAAAAATATTTTAAAAATCCATGCCTTTCGGGCTAGCAGAAGTCCTGGAAAAAAGTATTTTTAAAATCCACTCCTTCGTGGTTCTTATTGTCCTGAAAAAAAAAAAAAAAAACGTTTATATGGTCATTAAAAAAATATTTTAAAAATCCACGCCTTTCGGGCTAGCAAAAGTCCTGGAAAAAAGTATTTTAAAAATCCACTCCTTCGTGGCTCTTATTGTCCTGAAAAAAAAAAAAAAAACGTTTAAATGGTCATTAAAAAAATATTTTAAAAATCCACGCCTTTCGGGCTAGCAAAAGTCCTGTAAAAAGTATTTTAAAAATCCACACCTTCGTGGCTCTTATTGTCCTGAAAAAAACGTTTAAATGGTCATTAAACAAATATTTTAAAAATCCACGCCTTTTGGGCTAGCAAAAGTCCTGGAAAAAAGTATTTTAAAAATCCACTCCTTCGTGGCTCCTATTGTCCTGAAAAAAAAAAAAAACATTAAAATGGTCATTGAAAAAATATTTTAAAAATTCACACCGTTGTGGCTCTAATAGTCCTGGGAAAAATATTTAAAAAAGTTTTAAAATATATTTAAAAATTCACGCCGTTGTGGCTCTAATAGTCCTGGGAAAAATATTAAAAAAGTCTTAAAATATATTTAAAAAATCCACGCCTTTCGGACAGCTAAAGTCCGGGAAAAAATATTTTTAAATACACTCATATGTGGCTCTAATAGTTATGGAAAAAAATAGAAAGTCCAGGAAAAAAATTTTAAAATCAACGCTTTTGTCGTTCTAATAGTTCTAGGAAAATATTTTAAAAGTCCTAAAAAATATTTTAAAAATCCACGCCTTTGTCGTTCTAATAGTTCTAGGAAAATATTTTAAAAGTCCTAAAAATATTTTAAAAATCCACGCCTTTGTGGCTCTAATAGTCCTGGGAAAAATATTTAAAAAGTCCTAAAAAATATTTTAAAAATTCACGCCTTTGTGGTTCTAAAAGTCCGGGAAAAATATTCAAAAGGCCCTGGAAAAAAATATTTTAAAAATCCACGCCTTTATGGCTCTAATAGTCCTGGGGTAAATACTTAAAAGGACCTGGAAAAAATACTTTAGAAATTCACGCCCTTGTGGCTCTAATAGTCCTGGGAAAAATATTTTAAAAGTCCTAAAAAATATTTCAAAAATCCACGCCTTTGTGGCTCTAATAATCCTGGAAAAAAACATTTAAATGGTCATTAAAAAAAAATATATATTTCAAAAATCTACGCCTTTGTGGCTCTAATAATCCTGGAAAAAAACATTTAAATGGTCATTAAAAAAAAATATTTCAAAAATCCACGCCTTTGTGGCTCTAATAATCCTGGAAAAAAACATTTAAATGGTCATTGAAAAAATATTTAAAAAATCCACGCCTTTGTGGCTCTAATAGTCCTGGAAAAAACATTTCAATGGTCATTGAAAAAATATTTTAAAAATCCACGCCTTTATGGCTCTAATAGTCCTGGAAAAAACATTTAAATGGACATTGAAAAAATATTTTAAAAATCCACGCCTTTGTGGCTCTAATAGTCCTGGAAAAAAATATTTAAATGGTCATTGAAAAAAAAAAAAAAATTAAAAATCCACGCCTTTGTGGCTCTAATAGTCCTGGGAAAAAATATTTAAATGGTCATTGAAAAAAAATTAAAAATCCACGCCTTTGTGGCTCTAATAGTCCTGGAAAAAAATTTAATTGGTCATTGAAAAAAAAAAAAAAAATTAAAAATCCACGCCTTTGTGGCTCTAATAGTCCTGGGAAAAAATATTTAAATGTTCATTGAAAAATATTTTAAAAATCCACGCCTTTATGGCTCTAATAGTCCTGGAAAAAATATTTAAATGGTCATTGAAAAAAAAAATTAAAAATCCACGCCTTTGTGGCTCTAGTAGTCCTGGAAAAAAATATTTAAATGGTCATTGAAAAAAAAAAAAAATTAAAAATCCACGCCTTTGTGGCTCTAATAGTCCTGGGAAAAAATATTTAAATGGTCATTGAAAAAAAAAAAAATTAAAAATCCACGCCTTTGTGGCTCTAATAGTCCTGGGAAAAATATTTAAAAAGTCCTAAATATATTTAAAAAATCCACGCCTTTCGGCCAGCTAAAGTCCGGGAAAAAATATTTTAAAAATTCACGCCTTTGTGGTTCTAAAAGTCCTGGAAAAAATGTTTAAAAAGTCCTTGAAAAAATATCTTAAAAATCCACTCCTTTGTGGCTCAAATAGTCCTGGAAAAAATACTTAAAACGACCTGGAAAAATACTTAAAACGACCTGGAAATATATTTAAAAAATCCACGCCTTTGTCGCTCTAATAGTCCTGGAAAAGTATTTTAAAAATCCCCGCTCTGACAGCTTTTAAAGTCCTAGCAAAAATATTCTTAAAATCCTCGTGGTTCTAATAGCCCTGGCAAAATATTCCCCAAATCCACATTGTTTGTAATAGTTCATCCCTCCCTCTTTCTTTTCACACCCATACACTGCATCCATCTTTTCCCATCTTCACCCATCTGGAAACCATTTAATCCTCTGTCGACAAATGGCACTGTTAAACACTTCAAAAAGATTTAGAATCTCTTGGTCTAATTTAAATAGTTCATCCGTTGTATTTATTTTTAGCACACCTGTCACTGTACAGCTAAGAAGCCCAGCAGGTGTACTCTGGGATGTCTACTGCAATTCGATAGATACGTGCACGCCTAACATGCGACCACCCACAATGGTAGCTACCTTCCACTGCCACCAAACTTTTGCAATAATTGGTGGTGGCGGTGTGTGTGTATGTGCGCCAGTTTCTTCGCCTTTCTTCCTTCCAATTTTTGCCGTATTCCCTTTTTCCCATTGTCGTTTACCTCATGTTGTTTTCGGATTACGTGAATTCCATTTTCGACAGCAAAAAAAAAATCCCAGCTACTTTTCATCGTCCATGTTGACAATTTGTACTGAAGACTCTTTTGCGGACTTACTCGGTTTGTGGCCAGTTTTAGAGAGAATGCTTTGTTGTCCATCGTTTGTGAAAGTTCCTTTTTTGGTTTTTCATTCCTGCCATGGTCTAACTGACTTCATTGACTGGCTAACTTTGGCAACAGTGTTGGCTGTTCACTCCTTGCCACGGTTACTTTCTTACTGGGGTTTACTTTCGTGTTTTCGTCTTGAATTTATTACATTTTGTGGCTTAAGGCAATCGACGTGGTAGTAGTCGTCGTTGTCGTCGTCATCATCGTTTTGCTAGCTAGCCAACCAGCCAGCAATCAAATCTGTTTCTTATCGTATCGTTACTGTTCCATGTCCTGCGATATCTGTTTGCAGACTTATTACAAATTTATTATTTTCTTTTTCACTACAACGACAACAACTTGTGTTGCTGTAAATTATGTTTGATAATTGCTGGGGAACGAAAGTAAGATATATTCGCCTGAAGGGAAACTTCCGTTTTCCTGATGTTTGTAAACGGAAATTGCATCATAACTAGGTCGAAAAGGCCACAACGTATTTCTTTTGGTTCAGCTACAGGTGTTGCGATTAGAGTTGAATGTATGTGTGTGTGTGCATCTTATAAGTGATGTCGTTTATTAAATATAATGTCGTCTGCGATTTCTTCATA